TGGTACAGTAGTAAATTTCTTCTTAGTCGGATAGCTAGACTGGGTTCCAGTCCCTAATCTTTGTCTTTAAATCTATTTTGACACTAATGGCGTTCCATATTACCTATTTGCTTGGCGTTTCATAGTATACTTTTTCTTGTCGCGTAAAAGTTTCTCGATATATACCGTCGCTGGTGGCGCTCTCCAAAATTAGCTAATACTGGAAAACCTATAATTAGAGACCTGTGGCAAGTCTATCGGATAGCACGTGGCCGGGACGCGATTTTTTTCCCCGTACGAAACATTTGCATGAAACTTCACTCGGGCCATCTCGGATTGACTCGACTGAGTTCGATACGAGGAACAAGAGCAGACACTTCGCAATGTCGTGACGCTCGAGTTTTACTATTATTGCTCTTTCTATGTTTACCTACGGTAGACCTATGATGATGAACCATAACGAATTTATGGGATGTACGTGTGTAACGTAACTAACTGTGATCTTCTTGATGTTATTAAATGTTATTATAATATCTACAAAAACAACAGCTAGTACTCCCTTTTATAAAGTGTAGATAGGTAGGCCTACAGTAATACCAAAGGCTAGAGTGAAAGAGGATGCCTAAGGCTGAGTAAGTCCTACCTAGGACCCTAAACTATAGGCTTAGGTCCCTAGGGTCCTAGGCAGACACCAACAGTCACGCTTCACATACAGACGTTGATTGAAATTTTGAAAAAAAAAAAATGGGAAAAAAATTGAAGCATGAAATAAAAATTAGAGTGCATGAGAGAAATATTATTAAATAAATAAAATATACCATTCCGACGTTATTGAACTTGGCCAAAGTACTATCGTTGTAATGTAATTAAATGTTAAATAATAATAATAATAATAATAATAATAATAATAATAATAATAATAATAATAATAATAATAATTTCAGCATTACCTTGGCCTAAGACTTGTTGAAGAACCATACTATAGGCCTATAATTAATAACTAGCCCAAGGTGAATATTTTGTGTTATTGGTTTTGGTTGGTTTTAGTAACATAATAATAATAATAATAAATAATCATTTCGGCATTACATGTAATTAATTTGGTCTAACCTTGTAATCAAGAACCTGCAGATTACTATGCCTGATATTAATAATTATTAGGCTTAGGCCTCATTTATACATTCATTGGTGCTCTGCCATTTTGGCTGAGGTCTTATGGCATCTATTTTAGAGCTGCCTATTCTCAGTTCTTCTCTATTAATTTGAAAATAACTGTCACCCTGTTTCATTTGATGAAGAAACGCCCCGAGAAACGCGCTTTTCCTTACTCTCTGCGCTTTCCCCAGAAAGCGTATATTTTTAGTAGTTAGTAGGCCTAGGTATGCAAAACCCAGCAAACTGAAAAATAAAAATTGTCACAGTATGTAACTCAAGTTAAAATAACTTTTCATTACTCGTGCAGCTCAATCAAATATTATATGTCATTTTAAACGACCATTAGTATTCAGAGCACGGCAAAATCAATGTATTTTTGAAAATTAGACAGCGACGTTTTGTAGGCGTTATCTGTTGATGAAATTTTGACCTCCTGAATTCTGCAATACTGTATTTTCGGGTCGATTCAGTCGAGACGGCCCGAGTGGAGTTTCATGTAAATGTTTCGTACGGAAAAAAAAAATCGCGGCCGCGATGCATTATTTGTTTCCCATACAGTTCCGGCAGAAATTATAGAGGGCACTATTTAAGGTAATTTAGGTGAACTGATAATTCCGTATCGCAAAAGTGGTGTGTTGTTTGCTGCATGTGTGGAATATGAAAGCTACTGGTTGTTAGGGCATGGAGGAGTTAGTTTAGAAACTAAACTAATTCCTCTATGGTTATAGTAGGCCAAAATCTCTTGGTAGTCGGTCGATATACAGCGTGAACTACCGTAATTGACTATTACTGTAACTACAATATCCCATGCCTAGTAGGCGCAGTGTTTACGTACAACATGGTCTTTGAAAGTATAAAGCTAGCAGCCTTGAATTTCTGGTCGATTATTTGATAGCGTAAAGTATCAAACAGTAATAACAGAAGAGAGTCCACTCAGACTGAAAATGCGTTCCGCTCGACGACAGAACGCCCTCTACAGACTGTTGTGGATAAAGTGCGTGAGTTGATTTCCGGGAAGCGATTTATTTTCCCGTACGAAACATTTGTACATGAAACTCAACTCGGGCCGTCTCGACTGTATTACGGAAGCACCTAAGTGCCATTCGACTTGACGACTTGTCAAGATAATTATGTTGTCAAGTCGACATATTTGGGACTTTTAGATTTGCACGTCGACATAGTGGACTGCTACGTGATGAGGTCATTTTAAGGCACTGCGCATGCGTTACGTCGTCTCCCTCGTCCACTACCAAAATCGAGAACGTGTTCACCTCGTTTTTCCCGTCGTCCTAAATCTAGGACGCCGTGCTCTCTTGTGAAGTTTAAAGATGGAAGATGGAAATATAGTGGCAAGGCTGCCTTCACTAGTTCGTCCAACTGAGGCAGAGACAGAGTCTGGGGGAAGTTAACTTGTGTTGAATTAATCTGTATTATTTGCTTTTTAATGCACAGGCAGTTATGTAATTTCTACTGCCTTCGTAAACACAAAAAAGGCTGTGGAAGTTCATGAGCGTGCTTACGCCAGTGTGCATGCAATGCAAACTTGCACCGCAGCGAGCGCAGCCGGCCGGGGAGGCCTGTTAACTATCTGCATCATCGCAGTTGACGCACCGGATGCGCCCTTAAGTATGCATTACATTCATCATTGTTGTACTTGTCTAGATCAAATTTCTGATAATCTCGGTACCTGAATTCGGCATTTTTGGGTTTATTTGTATTGTATAAAAACATGAATTCCTCATCGTCCAAGACACCTGTAGAACATGTAGAATATGCAAAGACGACAATTTGGCGAAGTCGATGAAGGTTCGCCATGACACAGCTGCTTAATAAGGTTGCCTAGCGTGCGCTACATGTCGACTGAAATCTAAAAGGTTTTCATTTGTAGTCAACAGGTATAGTTGACTACGTTGACACGCATGACTAGTCGACGTGAACCAGG